TATTAATTGTTTATGAAGTCAAAAAATGGGGCACCGAAATTGAAAATGTGCTGGACCTCACAATGCATAACAAATAGCATAGAGAAGAATAAAAAGGAAAAAAAAGTAGAGAGGGACCAAACCCAACTCAATATGAAAGTGATGGGCACGATATTTTGATGAAGTTTGTAAAGGGTGTAGCGTTTCGATTCTCATGGCCAAAAGGGAAAGAAGAGAATGGCAAAGAATACAAAATTCAGGTGCATTAATACGAATGATTCTACATACGGCCAAACATCATTTATGCCAATGAAAATTGATTTGTATCAATTAAGCTTTCAGTTTTGACATGTTATCAGTCACAATTCATCTAATTTTACCTTAAGTACATGTATTGTATCAAATACCGAATAACATGGCAACTTGCACCATGACTGAAAGGATGCTTTGTGTAATGGGCATACCTATAATTAAGAAATAGACTTAATGATCTTATTTTATTAAAATTATCATTTGATTTTTTGTTATATTTTTTGTCTTATTAATTAATTAGTAAATTATTTTAAGTTAGGAGTACTTGATAAAACTCAATTAGTGTTATTTCAATTTCTATAAAATGATTGATAAATATGCGAGAGATAAAAATAAACCAAAGAAGAAACTAAAAGAATTAGTTTAGCGAGCTAACTTACATCGTGACACAGACAAGTTTGAATATAATGACATAACATATAGAGTATAGTAAGGGCATCTAAAATCCTTATTATAGATGTCAACTAAAACATACAAGACATATGTGCAAGTACTTGCTTTTCCTTTAAAATATCAAGGTAAATGCTTTAAAGTCATATTCTACTTTCTTTTGTAGGACTTATTTAGAAAAGCATCTATGAAAAATTTTTAGAATTATTTTATAAACAAATAACAAGTGTTTGATTAAACTTATAAAAATGATTTATAATTATTTATAAGATTTTAAACTTATTTGATAAGCTTCAAAGCCAAGCTCATAAAAAATAAGTATAATTTGTGTGACAAATTTTTATTAAATACTATTTAATCAAGTTATTTATTCAAACGTAAGTTTAGTTCATTTATGACTAATTAATTAAAAATAGCTTATCCTCCTCCATCAATATTTAAAACCTAAAACTTCTAGTATTAAAGACACAATACTCAAACATATACTTTTTCTTTTAAAAACAGTTTCCTATTTTTTAAAATAAAATACAATACAAATTTGTATTGTATTTTATTTTTAAAAATAAAAATTATTTTTAAAAAAGAAATCAAACATACTAGACGAGCCAACAAAATTGTGTGCTGCCAGTGACTAACTTTCTTTTGCCATCACTATCCATGCTACTTAGCTTATCATATATTGATTTTCACGGTTACAAATTTTGTCAATTCATCATAGTAAAAAATATAAGATATTTTATGTAATAATAATAAAAGTATATAAATTATTGTTTTTTTAATTTTTTTATGCAAGAGATGAAGTAGTCATTTATGAACTTTAAACATATTTTTCGTTCATATATTATGTTTAATGTATTTATGTATTACAAAAACAATAACATAATACTTTAAATAAAATTATCAATAATACCTATATTTTATTTTTATATCAAATAATATGTTTTATTACTAAAAATAAAATTAATTTTATCACGGTTCACACGGAGTGAAAAAAAATTAACTTCTTTTAAACTTAGGATAACTAATGAAATGATTTTTTTAAGAACCAATATTATTATTTTTTATTTTCTTTCTGTACTTACTCCTTTCCACCAAATTAATCAAACATTATGTTACACCAAGCTGAAATGAAAAAGGAAAAATAAAGCTATTAAGAAAGGTTTTAGCTTAAAGATTAGTCTTACTCAACTCTAAAATAATTTATCTAGAACTATTCCCATACTAATTTTAAAAAATAATTAAACCCTAAATTGGTTCAAAATATGTGAGTTAAGGTAAAATTATCTATGAGTTAGCCCTCACTCTAAAAAACTCTCAAATCATATCTAAAATTTATTATTTTATAATTTTAATTTAACATAAATTCTCATTCAAATCTGAATTTGTTATTAATATATATTTATTAATTCTTCTTCTTCTTCTTTTTTAGTTTGCGTATAGTGTCGTTAAAAAAAATTAAATACATTGAAAAGTATGTTATTATTAATTAAAATTATTAAAATATCATATTAATTTTAAACATATAAAACTAATTTTTTAAAGAAATATTATTATTAAATATTTAAAATTAATCTTAAAAATTAATGACAATAAAAATTTTATAACCTAATTAAATTTACATATAATTTATGTTTATCTTAATATTAATAGTTGAATCATAATTATTAAATTTTTAACATATTTTTAAACATTCGCTTATGTTGTGTGAAAAAAATACATGTACATAAAATTTGTCCTCTCCTAAATATGTTTCTTTTACCTTTATTAGTTTTTTTGTTAATTTATTTTAAAAAATTACCATAAAATATATAAATTATAATATAAACTTTAAATAAATAATAAATATCTTTATAAATTGTGTCTATAAATTTATAGACTTACAATATAAAAATTTTAAAAACTATAGAAAATACAAGTTATTATTATTAAATTATTTTTTTCCATCTCCTTGTCGATCATTGTATTGCTCTAAACCATCTGTATCATCGTAACTAACTTACTTAAGACTTAAAATGTTATAATTTTATGATAAAATAAAAAATAATAATATTAAATTTAAATAGATCAAAGAATTAGATTAATTATATATAAATGATAAAAATATAGATATACTAAGTATATTCATTTTATTTTATATAAAATATTATTTTGATTATTTTATATTAATTTAAAATATAAAAAATAAATATTATCATCTAGTTATTATAATAAATTTAATATTATTTTAAGAATAATTTTTACTAACTAACTATCAATAACTTTAGTATTTTTAATATAAATAATTTAATTAATTAAGTTAATTATAGTAATTAATACAAAATATTATTTTATTCAGATATATATGCATTGATACTAAATGACATATAAAATAAATTTTTTATACCAAAAAGCAATAAGTAAAAAGCAATAACATAAAAAAAAACTTACAAAAAAAAATATCGTAACAATGTTTGAATAAATTTTATAGAATAATATATAAAAGTATCACTATTATTTAATAATTATAAAACCATATGTATTGAAGAAAAAATATACTAGATTAATTTTTTATTATTAAGATTAAACTTTTATTTAATTATATATGAATATATTAAAATAATATTTTTTTAAAATTTTAATTTGATTTTATCTCAAAAACATTATTAATGTAAAGAGTAATATATATAATTTCTAATAAGTCAAACAATTTTTTATTATATAAATCATTGAAGGATATATTAATAATTTTATTTGATTCAAAATCTTATCCTCAACTGTGAATTTGGACTTTTTAGCCCTAAAACTTTTGATTTATTAGACTTTTTTACCTAAAGCACGTATACTAACGATTGGTTGAGCCAATTGATAAAGGCTGAACCCATTTTTGTCCATTATAACTAGATGCCATCCGTGGTGAAAACTCACATCAATTACCAAGTACAATGGCATCTCGTTGTCTTTTGAAACCATGGTTCTAGCGTGCTAGGTCATATTATTAGTACCAGATGATTGTAGTGGCCCCAGTACTATTATTGGCTACCTGCATGTGTCAAGATTAATAGCTATCCACCCAAGTTTATGACAACATTTGATTTATGCCAAAGAGGTTGTGTGAGTACAGTTCTCATAATTTTATATTTGTAATCTCTATACATTTTAACTGTTTAATTAGTTATTGATAATGTTACATGATAAATTATTGATAGAAAATATAAAATAGAGCAATACTATAAAGACCCTGAGGAAGATGAAGATAGAGTAAGGTTAAAAATTTGAATACCAAGGTGGAATTTTAAAACAAGGAAACATATTTGTACTCCATATTTAAGTTGAAGGGGTGGATTATCTCGTTGCTGTTCCCTACTCCTTTAAGGCTTTCAGAGAAAATATGATATGTCTCACTCAACTTCCTATCGTCTACTACTGCTATGAGTACTTTGCAGACTTAGAACTAAAAATTAAATTATCTAGTGGGTGCAAGTACCACAGGCCCTGTGCATAATCAAATACTATCATTTAAGATAGTAGACCAACCTAAACTCATGTTAAGAATGTTACTCTTAGTAACTGCCACATTGGGAGTGAACAACAAGAACATTTGTTAATTTACTGCGTAAGATTAGCATTGAATTGTGATACAAATACAATAAATTGTATCCGCGTTCAATTCCAATAACCCAATTGAAAAATTGCACTGCATTTTGATCAAGTCCAAATTAGCCCTCTTGCTACTTTCTTTCTGATTCTGTTTTTAATCCTGCAGATTTTGCATGAAATCATTAGTCATATCATCATATTTAATTTTCTGTAAATACAGTGGTTGAAGGAAGGCATGGTTGGCTATGCATGTGATATGTGTCCTTTACCTGCGTATCAAAGATCACATCAATAATCAATAACCAATAACAAGAACAACCAACAAAAGAAAAAATCGTCCTTCTCCAATTTGTAGTTCCGTGAGCATCAGTAGATAAGCATTTGCCACAAAGGAACCTGGAGTTATCTCACAACACTATCACTTTCAACACACCGTTCATGCAAAATCAATCCCCACTTCCCACTTACTACAAGAATTGAGATTTAAACTTTGCTTTATTTGCTTATCATTACGGACAAAAACACTTCACCATGCATCACTTCCCCACCCTATATGCTAACCAAAGCACACAATTAACAAAATATAGCCTGTGGTCCACATCCGTTCTACCTTCTTTCTCTACCTTTTTGGATCCCTATAAACTCCCTCCTTCACTCACAATGCTACCCAAAGACAACGTTCTACTAGTCTTCTTGCTCCACCATTTTCTCCTTCTTCTTCATCATTGTGAGTAATACTCCAAATGGAGGGTAGGAGCATAGAGAGGAAGCAAATATCTATGGAGAATGTGAGGAAGGAAAGCACAATTGAAGTAGTAGAAGATGAAGAAGAGGAGGAAGATGAGAGTGGGGGTGGTGGTGTTGTAGAATATGAGAAGAAGAAAGGTTGCGGAGGGAGTGGGAGAAGAGGGTCAAGTGGTAGTGGAGGAGTTTCTTCACCTTCTTGTCAGGCAGAGGAGTGTGGTGCTGATTTAACTGCTGCAAAGAGGTACCATCGCCGCCATAAGGTGTGTGAGCTTCATTCCAAGGCACCTGTTGTGATGGTAGCAGGCTTGAGACAAAGATTTTGTCAGCAATGTAGCAGGTGTTCAATCCTAAGTCATCGCCTTTTCTCTTGGTGTGAATTTGTGTTGCCATTTGTACTTTCACTATAGATATGGTCGAGTTGATGCATGCTTTTCCATATTATAGTTTTGAAACTTAGCATAATACGCTTTTGAAAACTTCAAACTAAGAACACACTTCTTATAATTAAAGACATGCCTTGATCATTGCCTAAAAAGTTGTGTCAATTAAGAAACAATGCTTTTATACATATATCACAAAGACGTTAAAGATGTGTGTTTAGAAGGGTATATGAAAATAATTTATGATTTTTATATTTTTTTAGCTTATATCAATTAGTGTTATATTTAAGTTTATGATAAAATTTCTTATACAATAAAGACGCATTTGAATACATAATTTAACTAAATATTTATTTAATAAATTTATTTTAAATAATAATTTATGTTATAAATTTATTCATAAAATTTATTAAAATAAGTTAAAAAATAATTTATTTAATGCATTATGTTAGAAAAGTTATGAAAATAAGATATAAAGAGCTTGTAAGAATGGTAAGTTATTTTCATAAAATGTTCATAATTTTTTAAAAAAGACCATAAGAATTTATTAAATAAGTGCTTTGCTTAATTATACATATTATGAAATTTGAACTTTGATGTTTAGACCTTTTAACTTTTTATATTATGCTTCCTAAGGAGCACAAGGGTGAAGACTGCTTCCATGTGTTTCACCTTATTAGAAACCTGTGATGAGTCTTTGCAGATTCCATGAACTGGTAGAGTTTGATGAAGCCAAAAGGAGCTGCCGGAGACGCTTGGCAAGACACAATGAGCGGCGCCGGAAAAGCAATGCTGAAACTTGCAATGAAGGATGCAATAGCAACAAAGGGCAACACCCTAATGAAAGCCACTGCAGAAACGTTGATGATTGGAAAAAAATTCAGATGAATATGGGAAGGAGTACTGGTTACAAGTCCTTCCATATCAGATGAATATAATGTGTTCATCAGCATGCATGCTTGCTCTCTTCTGTCAAATGTTCTTTACATGTCAAGGCATATAATAAAGATCCCTTTTCTATGCTATGAGAATATGAGCATCTAAACCAGAATGGAAAAATCCCAACATCTAAAGGTGATCTCTTATGTTATTTACACTAATACTTTTTAAGCTCTGTTTGATTTACTTTTATTAGTGAGTTTCTTCTGTTTGTGTGCCTTGCCATATAAGTATTCTATTGTATCACTCTACATAATGGTGTGCCCCTATTTTCTCTTGATTATAATAAAGTTCATTGCTTCTTTGGCTAAATTCATGTATCTCTTTCAGTTATTGATACGGGTAGTTTATGCTAGTTAATTATTAAAAAAAATCATTTTTTAACATGTTCAAGCATTCACATCTCGATCGGATATGAATCCTCTAAATCTGTAGTGAAAAAGGTCGTTGATTTTAGAGGAATTTAAACCATTGATTTCAAATTCAATAACTTTTTTCACTACAAAATTAAATAATCTAAATCATTCTCGCTCCCAATTAATTAATAGTCCGTATATTTCTATATTATTGCAGTACAAAATCAATTTTTGAATATAAAATTAACGATCACGACGTTCTTACATATATATAGGTTCCCTGTCAACGGAAGTAATTTTTTTCATTATAAGAAAATCGATTCTATAACGTATACATTCAAGTCATAAGATTGTAAATAAGATCTCAACGATTCTAACATATATTTTTTTAAATCAGTTCATTATTACTGTACTTTCAAATTTAGCTTGATCAAATATATCATCAGTAATTGCTCAGTGGTTGTGAAGTTTAATTATGTTACAACAAAGTAGGATCCTCAAATTAAGAAGAGATAATATATATATATATATACGAAAAGCTAAATATTAATTATTTAAGCTTCTGTTTGTTTATAAAAGGGATAGTTATTAAGAATGTTAAAAAGAAGGTTAAGAACACACTCTTAATTACTAATTAAAATTTATTAAAATTTATAAAAATATAAGTAAGAATTATTAAATTAAAAATGAGATTTATAGCAAAAAAAAATTGAAAGTGAGATTTGCATGATTTTTTATTTTTAAATAAATTTTAACTAAATAATTAAAAAGGTATTAAAAGATGTATTGTTAAAATTTCTCATAATAAAAATGATATTTTTTCCTTTCATTTTTTATTTTTTTATTTAATATAAATCTCTAACTTTATTTCCAGATTAAATTAGTCTTTTTGTTATAACATCATTAAATGTTGCTAAATTTTTTTTTCCACGATGATTGAATTGTGCAATCCCTTTATTTTTAAATTATGTATCCTGATATTTTTTTACCTTAAAATTATTAAATTATTTTTTATCTAAGTTTTTCAAAGGCTTTGTAGAATTAGAACATGAAATACTTTTAAATTTTAAAAAAAATAATATATTTAGAAAAAAATTAATAAATTTTATTTATTTTAAATTAGAGACTAGAGTTTTTAAAAAAATTAAGATTGTTTACTTTAGATAAAATTTTATATTTTGATTGAATAGTTTTTAGCAAATGAGGATTTAATTAATTTTATTTAAAATGATTTTGAGTAGAAAGTTGGAGTTAGAGAGTTTTAAGTACGTATAAGAAAATCGGCAGAGGACCAAATTTGTTAAAACTTAATATCAAAGTAAAACGACTTAATTAACTCAAAAATATTGAAAATTTAAATTTGTAAATAATCTAAATAAAATAACTAAAAATATAATTGAATTAAAGTATTAATTGTTTAAGAGAGAAAATATATAAAACTTGCTCTTAATATGATATTAGATTATTATATTTTTCACACTCTCTAATATTTATTAGACTTAAATAAGTTTTAAGTCTTTATAAACATTTTCATTTTTAAATTAGTTTCTATAAAAAAAAATTGTTAATATTTAGTTTATAACATTTTTAGGAAATCAAAAATTATATCTTTGATAAAAACTAAATTAAAAAATTAATAATAAAAACTAATTTTTAATCCATTAAAATGCTAATAACTAAATATTAACAAAATTTTATATAAGTACTATTTTAAAAAATAATATTTATAAAGACCAAAAATATAAATAAGCTTTATATAAGTCTTTATAAATATTTTTGTTTTTGAAGTTAGTCTCTATAAAAAAAATTGTCAGTATTTAATTCTTTATTAACATTTTTAAGAATAAAAAATTAAGTTTTAACAAAACTTTTAGAATAATAAAAGTTATTTTCTTACTCTATTAAAATATTAAGAACTAAATCGATCTCAACAAAATTTTCCACAGGTACTCATTTAAAAAATAACAAAGATTAATAACTTATTTAAACTTATTCACTATTTATATTTTTTATTATTATTTCTTTTTCTATTTTTTATCACATTATTTATTACAGTTTTTGTTTCTTCCTTCCGTTATTTTATGTCTCTTTTCTTCACCCATCTTACATCCTTTTATCCGGTTTAGGGTTTATCATTATCCATGTGAAACCAATCTAGATCTTTTTTAAGAGCACTTTTCGTAACTATTCTTTGCATTTAATATTGATCCACAAAAGTTTATAAAGATTTATGTGTTTGTTTTATTGTTAGTTAATTAGTTATAAAATTCTTTAATTGAAAATATAAAAAAAAAATAAAGCGTATAAAATAAATAATTAACAAATTGACCGTGCTACTTTTATCAATTTCATTCATTAATTCACTAAATCAATTCACAATTTATGGATTTAACTAGCTCAAGTGCTCTTTGAACTTGAATGCAACAGAAGCTTAATTTGGCGTGTACATGGGTCCTAAGAGAAACTAAGCTAAATATCAACCTTGTAAACTTATGTCCAAAATACAACAGAATCAGATACCTTTATAGGTTTCTTTCTCATAAATCCTCGTATAAAGTTATAAAAAATAAAGCGACAAACCATTGATCAAAGAAAAGCAAGTATACAAATAGCCTTTTTTCTGTGTCTATGAAGAAGACACAAAGGTAGCTTCAATACTTTATCATATACATGCATGCCACAAAAGTGTGCCGTGAAAACAAGATTTTGATTTTATGCCTTTATTCATAGGTTACCAAAGTCTTGGGACCAACAACAAATTCAAAGCTACTTGAATCAGATGATGACTAGTAATGCCTCTCCCACGCAAGCTGTGTCTGTACTATCCCTTCTTTGCGAAAACATGCAAGAATATCACTAGAAGTGTTTCTTCTTACTTTTGTCCTTCCGTATAAAATTCTTCACAACTGTCCTTCACATTACTAAAGAAAAAAAAAAAGGACCATTTGACATGGGATCCCAAATGCACACTTCTTTGTCCACCATGTGTGAGGAAGTCACAACTATGGGCTAATGGGCTAGTTAGGCTTTAATATTGACTTGGTGCATGACTTGCTCAATAAATAGCATAGAAAAGAATAAAAGGAAAATGCAGGGGGACCAAACTTGATATGAGAGTGATGAACATGATATTTTGGTGAAGTTTGTAATGGGTTTGACATTCTAATTCTCATGGCCAGAAGGGAGGAAGAATACAAAATTCAGGTGGATGTGTAATGTGACATTCTACGTATTGCCAAACATAATTTATGCCAATGAAAATTGATTTCTATCAATTAAGCTTTCAGTTTTAACATGTCATTATTCATGATGCGTCCGATTTCAACTTAATTAAGTACATGTATCACATACCGAATAACATGGCAACTTGCACTGTGACTTGAAGGGATGCTTTGAACATTGAGCATAGACAAATTTAGATTTAATGACATAACATTTAGGGCATCTAAAATCCTTATTATTATAGATTAGGTAAAAGCTTAAGTGTCCTTTGCACTTTCACTGTAGATGGTTGAGCTGATCGTGCTTTTCCATCATGCGTTTATAGTTTTGAAACTAAACATACTACACTGTTGAAGTAAACCTTAAAAGTTTTCAAACTAACAACAGGCTTGTTATAATTAGAGACATGTCTCGATCATTGCCGAAAAAAATTTGGTGGTGTCAATTAAATATTGTATAGGGCACTAGTTATCCCCCAAAGAGAGGAATGTGGGGCAACACTAGTGAATGACTTAATCTAATACCTTACAGGCCTAGGAACTGATCTGAAAGTGAGCTTTCAAAACCATCAATGTTGGCCAAACTTCCTTGCCAACACACTATTAGACTGTAGATTTGGTCTGCATAATCAGAATCCACATCTTTCCCACATTGTTATTTCAAATAATTAACAAATTGTCCTAGACTCCTAGTTAGTTTGCATGAAGGACTCAATAAGTTAATAACACCACCTGGTGGCTATCTAGCTTTATCATTACACAAAAGTGTTGATGTAAAGTTGAATGAAAAAGTGCACGTTGAGTAAAAACGAAGGAGTTAAGTGACATATATTTGATAAGGACTATTTCTTACTATAAGAAATTATGGCTTTTTATCAAATGCAATATTAACGATCATAATTGACAAATATGACAGGTTGAAATAAAATAGAAATAAAAAATCAAAACAAAACAAAAGAAGATAAAAAATAAATAAATAAAAAGGAAAAACCAAACTGCTAATTTAACTTATATTATATAAAAAGAATATGTTTTTAAGGTGGGCAAGAGTTTATTGAGTTATAGAAGACTTGAACCAAAATCTCTTCAATCCAAGGATCGGAGCTGCCACTTTGTATTGGTGTCACCTCTTTAGTGTGCTACCAAATTTCTGAGGAAGATTGACAAATAATGTAATTGGGTTGGATTAAAAAATTTAAAGGCTGAATCTGGCTGATCAGTGGTCCCAAAAGCATAATTACTAAGTATTGGGCCCGTTGGTTCTGCCACAGAAACCCAAAATAGAGACTAAGGATTTTTCAAAGTGCTACTTGTCCCTTTGGCATTGTTTCCTTAATACAAAGAAAGCTACACTGATCTCTGGCCACACCATTCCTTTGGTCTTTGAGAGAAGAATACATTAATAGTACCTCTATACATACTATTGCACTAGTTGCTGCAGCTCCTCTCTCTTCTCACTTTCCTTTTCCCTCTCTTTTTCCTTTTCTTTCTTTTGCTTTGTCTATATTGTGAAGGGGTGTGTTTGGGATTATGTCTTTTACAATAATAACAAAAAACAAGATGACAAAAGATTAGTGTGTGATTCATTGTACTTGTGATAAACAAAGATTAATTGAACTAACAATCATTAACTTAAAATGTTTTTTTAAATAAAGTAAAACAAATGCTAATGAATATTCTTAGAGTAGTGATTAAAGAAGCAAATATAAAAAGTATTTAATGACAAATAATTATATTTAATATCTTTAAAAAACACGTTTAATATTCTCTCATTTTACTAATTAATATATTATTAGGAAGATGTGTTGTAAAATGAATCAGAATTATTCTTTTAAATGTGACTTGCGGCCAAAAGAGTACGTGATGATTAAATAGCTTTTGCTTTCTAAGCCTACTACTTGATGATCAAAATTACAAACCTGTCTCCTAAACAAGACAAATTGCTCAAGGTTTTTCTGTTTTTTCCTTTGAGTATTTTTAATCGTGAAACAGTTGTTTGAATAAAAAATAATAATAAACATATTTTTAAGATACGTTTTTTGTTTTAAAAAAACACCTTTTTAAATTGCTCATAAAACTCAATTTGTACGTAACTATTAAAATTTAAAAAAAATAAAAAGTTGCAAGATACAATAATAAAGAGGTGATATTTTATAAAAAAGATGTCTAAATAACATTAAGCTTGTGTCACATCAAACATATATATATTTGAGTTGCATATATTTATATGGCTCATAACAGCTTATTCATTCAAAAATTGCTGCGTGACGAACGGAGCAGCACCATCAGCCGCAAGGACTGGTTGAAATGATTGCGATTCGACAGCTTAAACAGCAACTATGGCAGCACTGTAGGGACGAGCTCCAATCACTGTTCTGAATGAAAGCTGCTTCACAATCATGCCTGCATGTATCACCACACATTCGTGATGCTCTATATTAACTTATTTAACGTCCGTTTAGCTCAGCTTTTATAAACATAAATTTAAATTAATTTAATTTTATGAAGTTAATTTTATTTACAAGTGCGTTTAAAAATTGACGTAATTTATATTTAAAAATAAAAAATTTTATAGTAAAATTTAGTATGAATTTTTTAATGTAATATAAATGTTATAATTTACATGATTTTAAAAGTAAAATCAAAATTTTGATTAAAAATAATCAAATATCATTTGTTTTTAATAAATTCATGTTACAATGAAATGGATGTGATTTTGTATAATTTCAGCGGGATCTATGTACCTATTGAAATCGTGAACGTGTAAGTTATATCTTGGGATGTCAAGATAAATCGCTTTCGTTCATATGGTTTGCCCATATCTATCTGCTTTCTAGTTTGAACTTCGTCCCATGCATCTGAAAGAAATATTGCATTCATTGGAATAGGGTGTTCTTATTTTGATTTATTTATTTTTCCTATGTGATCGATCTGATAGTTTTCTCAAGATATATCAATTTGGATAATCATGAGTGTAAATTAAGGTGTTGGAAGTAGAAAGAAGAGAGATGAAAAAAAGTGATGCTGAGTGAAGTGAAAAAAATGGAGAGAGATGAAAGGAAAAAATGTGATAAATTGATAGTCACTATCCTTACAAGTTTTAGAAAAGTAGTCTGACATTTTTAACTAGTGTAGAAATCTTATCGCTGTTTTAATATGATATTAGAAATGAATCAAACATAACCCTAAAATATTCATTCATATTCCTAATCAATACACATAACTGAGCATTTTGAAGAAATGAAGAATGAGATTTGATAGACGGAGCGTGTGATGACAATAAATATGTCCCTGGTTGGTTAGGACTTAGGAAGCTACTTTATCTGACTAGTATATGTCGTTTTCTTTGATCATGTCTTTTTATACTTTTTTATAGATATGTGTGTTAGAAGATATCTAATACATTACAACTGCATTATGGGGGCACATTAATGTCTGTTCACTTTGATCACTACGACCTGCTCCCCTTTATGAGCATGGGTATATAACCTGAAACTCTAGAACCCGACAAGAATTTCGTCTAGCTTAATCACTAATGAAAGCTTGATACAATATAGGATCTAGCCTTTGAAAAAAGAAATATGGAAGGGTTGGATTAAGGGGAGAAGTTACATAAAATTCTAAAAAATAATAGTAAATGACAAACAAATAAAAGAAGAAGCTAGAAAGATATATGCCCACACACCACAACTAGCTTCTGATCATATGAGCTTGCTTAGGGAGTAAAACTAGAACCAAATATAGGGAGCCAAAATAGTGGCACTACAATTTTTTTGCTTATAGCATATGCTATTGTTTATTTACAGCACAGAACCAAATATCAGGTGCTTCATCCATATAATAAAATTACATGTGGAAAGTATCAAAACTAATTCTCTAAAGTACATGAAATTACATAACATCCTATCCAAGTTATGGATTAATTTGGAAAAAATGAGAATCCACTTTAATTCTAGCTTGCTTGTTTCTTAAGAACCTCGAAATCATACTGCTTACGTTCCCGTCTTCATATAATATAAACTAACCTTTCCTATGCATTTTATTAATACAAATGTTGGTATTGATGACACAGTTTAATTGCACCCATGAGACTTAATTTATCTGATAAATTAGACAGTTTGCCATTAACTTCCGTTGTGTCAAGAAATGTGCTAATTTTGCTCCAACTGATCATTGGAATTTTCCCAATGAGGAAACAAGAAATAGATATGGGGTGGTTGAACAAGTTATAGAAGTAGTTGTCTACTGTATAATATGAAAAATCTTATGAAGTATGTCCATGTCTTGGCAGATATTCTTTAAAGGCCAGCAAGCTCAAGCCCATCTATGCCCTGGCCCTGACTTCTGACAAGACTAACAAATATATGTCACTAAAAAAAAGGTTGACAAAAAGAAAACGAATGATTCACCAAGAAAATGCCGTATACAAATTAAGGTAAATAAAAATTAAAATTAGACACTTCAAATTTTGATGCATAGCCCTTCTTAGGTTAGAATGAACATAGTCCAATAGATGTTATGATAACAATGACAAAAAATCAAACACATGATTGACTATAAAACAAAAGAAGAGTTCCATTGAGTTTAAAGGAAAGGAATAAGCTGTAAATGTCACCCAATTTAGTGGACTGAATGGGCATTTTGCTTAGTTATTGATTTATCAGGATCTGATTTAATTAGATGTTACTCCCTCGATAATTTTTAACCATATCTTGGCTGCGATCTGCATGTATCTGCAAAAAGATTCTAACGTAGACATGATATATGTGCGCATGTTGGGACTGTATAGTATACACATCACAAAAACCATGGTTTGGAGAAAGTAACTAGAATTTTATTTCATCCATAAAAACATGATTGGCAAAAGGAGTTGTGTGTTGTGTATATAACACGACAAAAAAATTATTAAAAACTACAATAAAAACACAATCAATTCAAGACTTAATTACTTTTAAATAATTTAAAATATATTTAATAAGCATATTCATAGACTAGAAAATCCCTTGACTGAACCATACTTATTTTCACAATTTTGAATCCCAAGATTTTAATAGAATTTGAAAACAAAAAAGTTACTTTATGTTCAACCAAACCATGACGAGTCCCCTCGAGTAAAAGCACAAATTAGAAAATCCGTTGACGAAATCATAAATAAGTTATGTTTCGACGTAATCGAGTTCAAATTATGATTTGAATAGAATTGAAAGAACAAAAATTACTATAATGTCGAGGATGAGTCTATTATCATTCCAAAGTATTTATAATCGTTTTTTTAAAATGAATTTTATATAAACATACTTTTATATTGATTAAATAAATTATTTACAATATTTAAATAAATAATAATAATAGATATTCAGGGAGTGATAATAGACAGTATCTCCGATGTTGAACTAAAACATGATTTACAAACTATTATATAATTACCTTATCAATGTCATCTTAGCTATCAGGGTTAACTTGTGATATTGCTGAATATAAAATATTCAAAATCTTAATAGGATAGCTATGGATGGCTAAACAAAGGAATAAAAAAAAACTTAAATGCGTCAATTGATTAGTAAGCCTTTTCATAATTTTTATTCATTCGTGCAATGATGACCCAATATCTAAAATTTGAAAAATTTATGGTAAGTAAAACAGCATGAAAACTTTATGTCAAATTGAACTTTAGAAGAAAGAAACAAATTATCACTAATCAAGTCTCATTAAGTGGAAGACAGAAGAAACACAAGATACAAAGTGAAAAGCAAACACATGAAAAAGAAACACAACTAGCTTTTCCTAGATACAAATTCTCATCTTTCATTTTTTCCCCTCAATACTAAAACTCTTTTTCTTCCCCCCCATTCACTCCAAAAAGGTTTCCATGACATCCGGGTACATACCTCCTTCGGAATTCCTATACTCCACACCTTGTTGTTGATGGTGATCCATTGAAGTGGATGAAGAAGATGAAGCCACTCTTGCAGGTAGAGTGAAGCTCCTCTTAAACTTGTCCACTTTCCTTGCATCTTCTTGGTGGCTATCCAAGCTCAAGAACTCATTTGGGTTGGTTCCACTAACATTTTGCATGTTGGAGGCATCTGAATTGGGATTTTGAGTAAGAGGGCGGTGTTGATTCTGATCACCATGTTTGCTCTCTGGATTGAACAAAAGCTTATTAGCATCTTCTGTTCTTCCAGTGAGTGCATTGAAGAAAGACAACCCATTAGGCCACTTTATGTCATTTTCATGTTCCCCCACCATGTCTTCAATTCTTGCTGTTTCTGATGATGCATGAGGCATTAGAAACATGTGTGTCTCATCTTTGGCTTGTGGAAAACCATGCCTAGCTGCATGTTGTTGAAAATTGGGCGAGGATAGCATGGAAGTAGAAGAAGTGAGTGACCTTTGACCCCAGTTGAAGAGTGGAGGAGGTGGCCTAATTGGAATGGTGGATGGTTTTGAAGGAACGGAAGTAGAAGAGGAAGTGTTCCTTGTTGAAGAGAATAGTTGTGAGAGGTAGAAACCAGATTGGTATCCCAGGGATTCAAAAGTGTGTCTCATTCTTAGCACAAAATGGAGGTCTTCAGGAATCTGAGAATAGAAGCTAAAATATTAAAAAATAAACTATTTGTGTAAGACTCTTCATCCAATGACAGAAATTTACTCACAATCTTGCAAGAACCAAGTTGGAGAAGACCATGTCCAGCTTGAATCACAGCTATGGTCTGGTAGTAATAAAACAAATGCAAATAAAGTTGGGATGAAAACTCTATAATCAAATCTTTCAAGACAAACAATAATAGCAAAAGCCAAAGAAAACCAACTATGATTCTGTTCTGACCTGAATACCTGACTCAAACTGGTCTGTCCATTCAGGAGGAAGCTGCAATCAAAGGATTGAGTTGAATCAATCATGAAATCAAACATAAAAAAAAAAAAAAAAAAACAGAACAGTGGTTGAAATGTAAATATATTTATATTTAGAAAAAGAGATGAGAGAGATGGGTAAGCGTAGATACAGCATCAAAAGAGCTCTGCCAGTAGTTGGAGATATTGGGTTCACATTCTGTGGGCTCTTTAAAGACCCACTTGTGGCACTTATCAGATGCAACTTTCCCCATCAACCTGTGCCAAAATCCAACTCCACCCAATCAAAGCAGAAACTGTGCTTGTTTGTGTACATACATACACCACAAGTAACTGAAAAACCCCCTCCTTGGATGATGATGATGATAAGAAAAAAAGAGTTAAAAAAAAAAAGCAAAAGATAACAAAAGAAAGACCTACCCAGTACCCACCCTTCTCCATAATTATACAACTGAATAGACATTTTGCTGAAAGCTTTTCTGACAGGATCCTCTCCATCTTCCACTGAGTCCCTTCCTCGGCAAAACCCATCTTCCCACATCAACATCCTTCAGTGAAAAACATAAATTTAGAATAGGTTGAAAGAAAGATGTTAGATGGTATATGTATATGATTTATAAACATACAAGGAACCGTTATCATCTCCAACTGCAAGCTTGCAGGCATTACCTCCTCTGAGTCTCCTGCAAGAAATGAAGAGAGAAAATTGAAATGAATGAAGTCGGAAGAGAGTAACCAAAGAAAGAAGAATGAACGGAAACAGTAGTAAGAGTAATACGGGCGAGGACGAATTGTCCAGAAAACAGAGTAAGTCCACTCAGAGTTGAGACAGAGGGTTCTGAGGGCCTCATGAAGGGCCATCATTCCCACTGCTTCTTTCCTCCTATCTCCTCCTCCTGAGCCCACCATCTCTCTCTCTCTCTGTTTTGAAACACTTCCCCTGTTCTGTTCCAACAACTCACTCTGCTTTTTTCTTTTTCAATCTCAGCTACTCTGTCTGCAATACTTAGCCACCATAGAAGCTACACCAATTCTCCATCTCTCTGCACTTTCTCAGATGTTTACTTTTTTACTCCCAAATCTTTGATGCATCGCTTCGTGATATTTAAAGACCTCTCTTTTATACTTTAAATAATTAATTAATTCAAATAATACTATTTTAATATTTTTTGTTTAGAATCTTTTCCTTTTATATTTTTTATTTTTTACTCATCTGGTTCAAATAAAAAATTGATATTTAGTAAATTATGCTAGTAATAAGAATTGAAAAAATATCATAAAAATGAAAAAACTGGAAAAAATATATTTGGATAAACTAAAATAAAAAATTTACAAAAACGTAGAAACTAAAAAAAAATAAACATAATATCATGCATGATATTAATTTTTATTAGTTTAAATAAATAAATTGTTATTCATTTGACTAATTATTTTTATTTGAATCAAGCAAATTTATTTTTTATAGTCAGTGAAAAAAAAAAGAAAATCAATTATATATAAAAAATAGCTAAATTTTTTTTTTGTAAGGGAATTTTTTAAATATTTCAAAACTCTAAACATTTTGTTGCTTTCAAATCTAAGCAACTTTAATTTAACAGAATATTTTTTGACTTTTAAATTATTAAATACGATCAATATATGCATTTATTTTCATTATGTTGATATTATTATTGGCTTAAACAGTGTTATTTTTTATGAAAAATATTTTTGATCTATATGAAATAAAAATTATATATTTTTATTTAAAATGTAGGAGACAATTTTATACTTAAAATAAGGAAGATAGAAAATGAGAGTAAATGAGAAGTGCTGTGTGTAGAGGGTAGCAAGTGTTGTTTGAATGGTATGGGATGTTTTTAACCATGAAAAACTGTGGGGACAGGTGTTATCTTCTTTCTCTGTCCCTTTCTCTGTCTTTTTTACCAACACCAAAACAAGCAAAGTGAAATAAGGGAATTTCGTAAATAAAACAAAAAGTGAAAAGGGGAAATTTTAATATAATCCGCTGCCCAATTTCACATTTTAACTTGGAGTTTTGTTAATTTAAGTTCTAATTTAAACATTTATAAATAAATATTTTTATAAAATAATAGACATTTATTATATTAAAATATCTTTTTAAGCATGTACAACCTTGTATAGAATAAATACACATATATATATATAATAATATTTTTTTATTAAAAATTATAACCTTAGTATCATGAATTCATTTAATTATATTACATTTTATAATTTTTATTAAAAATTACTATATATAATTTTTATCTAATAATATTTCATAAATTTTAAAATTAATATTAAAATTATAAAAAATACTAAATATTTTTAATACAATTTTACTATTATTAATTATTTATCCTTGATCTTAACTAATATAATTTATCTCACAATAATATAATAAATACATATTATGTATAAATTTTTAAACTATTACATTAAAATTTATTTTTCTGTAACCTTATTTGTTTGTGGTCGAAGAAATTCAATTAAAGCTTGGCAGATTAACTGATCAATCAATTGAGGAGAGGAAAGAAAAATATATATATGAGAAAGAGTAAGAATTGGCAGAATGGAACCACATAGTATTGCATTCTGGTCAAAATTGTTTTGAACTATCTAACTGTTAAGAAAAACATCTTCAGGTAAAAATATATATATTAAAATACAAATTTTACTTATTTATCATATTAATAAAATTATTTAACACAGTTATATTTTATTTTATTTTCTCAATTAAAATTGAGTATAAGTTTAATTTTCTCTACATCTAAATAATAAAACAAATTTTACTTTCCTTTATATTTTTCCGCATATAAACAAAATAAGTTTAAAATTGAGTTTTTGTTTAACGAAGCGTTAGGTATGCAGGTGTCGAAGCCTAAATAGATTTAAGATTTAATGTTCAGCCCAATTATCTATTGAGTTGATTCAAAATAATAATCAAAATTTTATTTAAAAATTTAAATATCAATGCATATTTAAAATATATGTTATAATTATTTTATATTTTTTTTTCAAAATAAAACAATAATAAGCTTTACATGGAAGAATAAGAGAAGAGATAATTTAAAAAGTTAAGAGAGAGAGAGAGAATTAAAGCTGTACATTTGACAATTCATGTCTTGTAATTTAATAAACTAAATTCACTCAAAAATAATAATTCTATTATTCATAGACTTTAATAATGAAGATTTTGCTACTAATTATATTACTGTTTTTAGTAATATTATTTTATAATAATTTTATGTACTTGTTTTAATTTTCTTCATCGTATAATTTGGATGACTAAATTAGTCGAAGGATAATAAACATATTTTATTAAATTCAAAGTAAGGAGAAAATACCATAAAAGATAATATATACTACATGTAACTAGTATTGAAGTTGTCCTTTCCATTTTGTTAAAGGAAACCTAACTTTGAATATTTGATAGCTTGCAGTGGATAATAAGGACTTAGAGCAAAAGGATTCTGAAGTTGAAAACCAAAAAAGTCAATTGGAAATTATAAATTTCATTTCACTATCTTAATTTTTCACTTCTATAATTTTAACCCTATATATATATATATATAATTGAGAACTACGAATCTTACACATACACGAATCTTACGAGAAAATTGTTGTACGGACCCCGTCTGATGAAATCTTTCCCATCTCAATTTTATTTTATTTTTTATGTTATTGCAAATGGGTGGCATGGGACAATTTTACTCTATCTTCATTCTTTCTATTCTTTTACTTTAGAACATTCAATAAAATTTAAAACTTGAACTAAAAAATAAAAAATCAAATAAATTAAAAATTACAAAAAAAATTGAAAGAAAATTTGTTGAAGCAATAGAGTTTACCTGTTATTTTCTCATAAATCGCTGATCGGCTTACCTTAATTAAGTTTGTAATTAACATACATCATACAATATTTTAAAACACTTATTAGAAAGGTAAAAAGAATGCAGTTAATTAGAAAATAAAAAATTAATAATATATAATTATAAAGGTTTTTTTAATAATTTTTTTATCAATCATTATTATTCTTTCATCAAAATCAGGATAAAATACTAGTAATGTACTAAATAACATATATTTAGTGACTTAGCAATTATTTTTGTGTTGTCCTGTTGGTTTTATCCCTAGACACGCATCAAATGGACCAACAGCTCCCCATCCCCTAATTCATATAAACATATAAGAAACTGGCTATTATTTGTATGATAAAAAAAATGTATAATATTATATTATTACATAAATTAAAGAGAAATCTTTATATGATAAAAATTGTGTATCATACAGAGTTTTATTATACTTGAAGGAGTACGAGTATAATTTATTTTTTTTTATCAATTATTTATTTTTCTTTGAAAAGAATATTCTCAAAATCTGGGTTTTTTTAATAAATTAAAGTATTATGGCTAAAGTTTTGTTGTGTCTACCTATTTTGAATTAATATAATTTTTGTTTGATTACGATGGGATTAAATTTGTTGTGATAGACCAAAGGGCAGTTACAGCCTCCCATGAAGAATATATATATATTCCTTTCATGTTTATGCAACCAAATAAATGGACATAAAAAATTCAATTCATCATTTTTTTTCATACAATAGGATTGGAAGAGATCTACTTATTTAAGTAATTAATTTTGCAATTTATTTATTAATCTTTAATATAAATTTAATAAAAATATAACGTTGAACTATATATGTGATATTATTTTGATGATACTACATGTAAAATTCTGAATAAACTAAACATTTATAAATAGATAATAGTAATTTATATTATAAAAAATATTATTTATAAATTTCTATTAAAGATAAATCTAATTATGATGATCCGATTATCATTGTACATTGTCTTCCCAAAGCATACATTTCCACCTGATTTGAATGCGGTAGATTCATTCATTATTGCAAGTTTCCAAACAGACCTTATTGATTTTTCTAATACCAGGCCAATGCACGAGATAACTATGACAATTTTGGCAATAGCAGAGAATCTTTACCGGTCAAAAGTGATAGTGGTAGGCTCTGATACTCGAGTTTGGCCTAATATTTTAAGAGCATTTGATAATGTTGATATGTCAGCTCGCAAGGACAAGCTAATTTAGGTTATTATTATAGTTTTGATGTGTATGGTTGGAACTGAAAATGGGTGTGTCACCATGGTGGCTGCTTCTTCCACATCTTGTATTGCTAAACCAAACTACCCAAGTCCCAACTAAGAGGCAAATGAAAATCCAGTTTTATCCTTAGACTTATAGTCAAGGGTTATATTCTTTATTAGTACTCTTTCCCAAATAGATATATTATAAATATTACTAAAAGAAAATACCACACTTGGATAATCAGAGGATTAATAACCAATATAATATGAAATATCTTGGCATTACTGTCTATCAAAACTTGTGTCTGGAGCATTCTTTTGCCATCAATATTGTCGAGGAATCCTTTGATGTCATCCACACTATAATACTCAGATAAAGTTAGGAATCTTACATTTTCTTACATCAACCCTGTAAAAGAAAAGGTTCTACTTTTCGCACTTGTGAATGCTTAAGAAGGTTAAGGAAATCATATCATTACATACTAATAAAGCCTGACGCAATTCATAGATATTTATATTCCAGTTTTTACTATACATTTTAAAAAAACATAATTTATTAATAAAATCGTGGTCATTTTAATTTATTCTTTTTTTGTATTAAACATATATAGTATACAGCTATCCAAGGAAAGATAATCCTTACCATGGGCGCGCACACATATGAATAAATTATCAATAAATATTTATTTATTCAAATTAATTCAGTTTTTTAACACTTTGATTCTATGAATTAAATTAATCCTCATTTGTTGATGCTTATAATTCAAAACCTAGACGCTTCGTTATTTTTGATAAATTACCACCTGATTCTATTTTTATCCAAATTAAGAAAAATAAATATAAATATTAACATCGATACGTGCACATGCATGTTGTTCTCAAAAGATAGTAAAGTAACATGTTAAAGTACGTACAAAGATTCATAGGAGTCGTAATTATGATGTAAAATTTTTTAGAGATTATTTATTTGATTTTGATGTTAATGTGT